TTGGACATCCACTAGCTCGTTGTACATGGTTTTTGTTTTTGTCAAGTTCATTTTTAGGCCAACTTCATTGCTAGCTGCATTTAGGTCGCTTATAAGTTCTTGTAGTTCTGCAGGATTTTTAGCAATTAGAACGATGTCGTCTGCAAATCTTAGATGGTTGAGGTATTCTCCATCAATGCATAGGCCTTTGTTTTGCCAGTTCATTTTGCTGAATATATTTTCTAGAGTTGCAGTGAAGAGCTTTGGTGATATAGAGTCTCCTTGTTGGACGCCTCTAGTAGTGGGAAATTCTGGAGTGTTTTCATAAATTTTTACCTTAGCTTTTGCTTGTCTGTATATATTTGCTAAAGTTTCTATGTAAGGTATATATATATATATATATATATATATATATATATATATATATATATTTATATATATATATATATATATATATATATATATATATATATATATATATGTATATATATATATATATATATATATATATATATTTCTTTTTTTTAGAAAGGGCTTTAGTGACTATGTGAGTAATATATACGGATATCTTGGGTTTAGTAGTCAATATTGGCCTTTAAGTGTGATACTCTGTCAAACTAACCTAAAATAAACATAAAAAATAGAAGAGACATGTAAACCTTAGTAATAAGTTTTGACAGAACGAAAAAGAAAATCAAATTTAATAATGTCATAATGTTAAATAATTTTGCCAATTTTAAAACACAATCCTCACAAGGGTAAGCCTATTGAATATATAACAACTTCATTTTTCTAATGTAGTTTTTTATGTTAATTTATAGTATGTTTTGAAAAAGAGTGCAATAAACTCGAAAGCTTAACAAACCTAAAAGAGTTTCACTGAAAGGCCAATATTGACTACTAAACCCAAGATATCCGTATATATATATATATATATATATATATATATATATATATATAAACCTAAAGCTATGATTAATACGTGTCGATTGCTACTGCGCCGAGCTTTCGACATCCTCTCTGATGTCTTCTTCAGGGTTTGCAGGGGCAAGTCTCCTAAGCTCGCAGAAACTACTACACTGTTTACTAAGCACTGCACTTCTGCTACTGGGGACAGCTGACGGTTTAGTTATACCGTTGATGGTGACGGGGTTTTCTATGGCTGTTTTCTAGGATGTATACCATTCAGATGGGTTTGAAAAGACACCAAAGCATCCATGCTGTGGGGGCAAATGACGAATGTATCAACTCATTCTACATATCGTAGAAAACATTTGGGTTTGAGCATTGATGCGGATAGTACTCGGTTCTCGAAGTCTTCCATAAAGATATTGGCAGTTACAGGAAATAGTGGAGAGCCCATTGTGGCACCATTTATTTGTCTGTAGAATTGGTTTTGGAAAATGAATTAAGTGTTGCACACATGTTGCAATCCTGAAAAAAGCTTTCTTAATATAATTTTCCTGCAGGCAATAGTTAAAAAATTATTTTAATTGGTTATAAGCAAAAAATCGATTTTGCAATATTTTGTTGAAACTGATTTTGCAATATTTAAAATCAATTTTCTCTATTTCTTTTAAATAATATTTATAGAATAAACATTTTTCTTTCATAAGCTATCCGTAGAATTACTGTTAGTTCATTATCTTTGATTTATTGTTGCAAAAAAAATAATTGAGGATTTTGATCATATTATAAGCACTACAAGACCCAACGTTCCATGTAACATGAAGATTTTAAATATGAACCATTTTAAAACAAAAGTATTAACATTTATAAAAAAACGAAATTTTTTACTTATTTTGCAATTTTCTAAACAATAAATAAGGATAGGAACATTTCAAAAATGCCAGTTTGAAGGTTTTTATATGACTTATACGATTATTACTCTCAAATTTGTTTCGAGTGCTTCACTTTTGCTAACACACGAAAATAGTAAAAATTGGCCATTTTTTACCTTAATTTGTTAATAACTGAAAATGTGTTAAACCCAAAAATATATGGGTTATTTTTATAGAGGTCCACAATACTCAAAACAACTGTCCTTTGCCTTCTTCTTCTTTAAGTACGGTCTCCCAATCACCATCACTATCTTTACTTTATCTACTGCTGCTCTAAAGAGTTCTATAGAACTGCATTTAAACCAGTCCCTTAAATTCTTCAACCATGACACTCTTCTTCTTCCTATACTCCTTCCTCCTCTTATATTTCCCTGTATTATCAGTATTAGCAGTTTATATCGCTGTCCCTTCATTATGTTTCCAATTATTTCGCATTCTTTGTCCAAATCTCGCAATACTTCCGTGTTAGTTTTCTTCTGTGTCCATGCTATTCTAAGCATCCGCCTGTAACTCCACATTTCAAAGGACTGTAATTTATTTATGTGTTCTTGCTTCAATGTCCAGCTTTCAATGTCCAGTGTCCTTTGCCTGGTGGGTTTAATGTCACGAGAAAAAACTTATATCCCTGGACTATATGATCTAAAGACAGTTAGATCTATTAAAAAATAAACACCACAAATTGTAAATCGTCCAGTCTGTAGGTGTTAAAAAGGTCAATTACTTCTACATTGGAAAACAGGCAATAAAATGTTCTAATTAAATTAGTAAAATATCTAGAAGAAAACATGTTATACTGGTATGGACAGGTAAACAAAAAGACCATAGTTAGCTGATGTATAGACAATAACAGAATGAAGTTCTATATGTAGAAGGCAAATTAGATCAACGTAGGTTATCCTAAAAAACGATACAGACGAGTAATAAGAGATATGGGAGGCGTGGATTGAATGACAAAAATGGAAGTTATTGAATAAGGAAGACAGTGAAAATTATTTTTTATTTGAATATATATCTAAAAAAGGAAGAAGAAAGAACAATGCATATAAACAGATGCAGCAAAGAAAAAACTCGAAAAAAGAACAAAAATATAAAGATCTCAGAAGAGAAGAGAAGTACATACATCGGGGAAAAAGGCGAACTTATGAAAATAGAATATTGGAAGAACTTGAAGTATTAAAAAAGGACAATCAAACAAGAAAATTCTATAAAAATCTAAATAATGTAAGAAAAAAAATTAAACCAAGGATCGGACTATGTAAGGATAAGGAGGGGCATATACTCAATACAAAAGAAAGAGTATTAAAAATGTGGGTTGAACACTATAAAAAACTACTTACTATGGAAGTAGAAGATCCAAATCAACCACCCCCAGGAGCAAGCATTGGAGCCTCCACCAATTCAAGAAATACGGGATGCAATAAAACACCTAAAAAATAATAAATCTCCAGGAAGTGATGTTACTAAGGATCATACTGAGAGCCTGAAATGGGGAACAAATCCCGGAAGAGTGGTGTATTGGGATCGTTTGCCTGGTACAAAAAAAGAATGATCAATTGGAATGTAGAATCTATAGGGGAATAACCCTCCTTAAAACAGTATACAAAATATTTTCGAGTATTTTATATGGTCGTCTGAGTGCATATTCAGGAGCTTCTTGGAGATATCAATAACAGACAGATCTTTGTCTAAGCAAATACTGGAAAAAACCATGAATTCATATCGACACATACCATCTTTTCGTAGATTTTAAATCGGCCTATAATTGTGTCATAAGAAATAAATTGTATGCAGTCATGGATGAATTTCACATCCCCGATAAACTGATAAGATTGGTTAAGGCTAGAAAGCGTAAAGTTGTTTGCGAAGTCGAAATACAGGACGAACAATTTAGGCATTTGAAACGCATGTTGGGCTGCGACAGGGAGATGCGCTGGCATGTCTCCTTTTCAACATAGCTCTGGAAAAAGCGGTCAGGGATGCTCAAATAGAAAACAGACGAAACACTTTTAATAAATCATCTAAAAATTTTGGCATATGCAGATGATATTGACCTAGTTGCCCGCACAACAGGCAAGCTAGAAGAAATGTATACCACCTTGTCAAATGCCTGAAAAAATATGGGCCTGCAAGTAAATGAGGATAAAACTAAGATAACGGCATCAACACCTAACAATAGAGCCAGAAACATCGGTCACCAATTCACGGTTGATAACTCTGCCTTTGAAGTGGTGGACAAATTCACATACTTAGGCTCCCTGATCACCAAGAAGAACGTCATGGCGAAAGAAATCAAGCGAAGAATAATCCTAGCAAACAAATGGTATTTTGGATTGGGTAGACATATAAAAAGCAGAAACTTAAGCCAAAAAATAAAAATAACCATATACAAAACCCTTATCCAACCAGTGTTGACATATGGATCGGAGACATGGACCATTTCTAAGTAAGATGAAAACCTCCTGCTTATATTTGAACGAAGGATCCTGAAAGGAATATTAGGTTCCATCTGTGAAAATGCTGTTTGGAGAAGAAGGTACAACTACGACTACTACTAGATATAAACATATATTTGGTGGTAAAGACGTACTATCTCTTATAAAAATATCATCTGATAAGATCACAGCAGAACAACTCTCCTAGAAGAATCCTTATGTCGCAACTTGAGGGAGGTAGAAGTAGGGGTAGGCCAAAACTCAGATGAAGGAATGGTGTAGATGAAGATGGTAGAAAAATAGGCGCAGCAAACTGGAAACAGTTGCCAATGGATAGAACTGACTGACGTCAGTTCTATCCAAGTCACTAGACTTGGGAAGGTCGAGGCTCTTGTAAAGGGCTGTAGCACCAAGGATGATGATATATCTAAATATGTATTCTTGTTTTTTATGCCTATCCTTTATTACAATTAAATTTAACGAACAAGATTGATGTACATATATTTAACTTAATATCAAAAAGTTATTTTATGTAATCCACTGTACTATTCCAATAATTCGTTTTCAAATATCTCCTTTTACTATAACTGCAATAAAGGTAATTGCAGAAAATTGTCATTAAACACAAATAGTGACACTCCTCATCAAAAAAAGTACTAGAGAAGGGATAACTAATAAAATTCTGTCAAATACCACGTGTATCCTTGATTTGAATGCATAAAAAGTAAAATAGATACACACGGTTCCCAGTAACATACAAAAATCTCTTTGCACATTTCCAACAAACAATATAGTTGCAATAGTCCATTGTTTTAAGGTTCAGTTGCAAAGATCTCAACAGAGACATTACACTAATTAAATAGTTTTTCGTGCTAACGTAACACTGTGGTGAAGTGCCAGTAAAATCGAAAAGATAAGTTAGGTTTTATAATGCGTTTTAAAAGTATAACGTGATAGTTTTCCGGGAAGTTCGAAAATGAAAGTGTTCAGTTCTTCTGTGATATTTTTTATAGGGTATATCTGTGGCATACAAGCAACAATTATTATTGTGGAAGATGCAAAAGGTACCATTTATTTTCTTCTTAATATTTATAATTAAATTGTTTTTCATTAATATTTATTTATATGTGTAGTTTAAATTATATCTTGTTTACTTTTAAATTTATTAACACAGAATGTTACTATATTTAACCGACAACACTTTAATATAAACTCTTAAAAAATCAGTTGCTCTATAGGTAAATAATGTTTATAAGCATGTTCCAAATATTGTAAACAATACTTTCTTTAAAAAAGTACCACTTTACCATCAAGTATCTTTTGGAACATTACACCAAGTGCTTTTAGGGTTAATGCTAAAATTTTTATTTGTCCATTTATTGAAATAAACGTTCTGTGTAAATAGGTATAAAAAACTGCTTCTAATTAAGGTATAAAAAACCCATTCAGATTCCACTGTAAAATAAAGGAATCAGACATGTTTGAATTATGCCTGAGGTAGTGTTTGATCTCTTCTGTGAAAGAGAAATTATTGGGGTTTAATTCATTTTTTAATCTAGTGATATTAGTTTTTATAATAACAGTAAATAAAATTAAGGATCTCAATTAGCCCGGTAGTTGCATTCGAATAATCTTTTGAAATTATTTCAGGATCTTTGGCCTATAGTGTGTTTTCCAGGAAGTCACAAATTTCTGTATATTTGAGGACAAATGGTGGTGATCTGTTTTTAATTTTTCTTTAATTGGCTCTAAAGAAAGCAGAAGTTTTCGCGGGAGTTTCTGGTCAACTTTTTGGCTTTTTCTTTGGTTTGCTTACTACGGAGAGCGATCAGTAGGGTATTTTCGTTAATTTCTGGAGAAGATTAGATGCACCTTTTTAGTTGGGGTTTTTAAAAGGATATTTCACTTGTATTATTTATAGATCCTGTCATGTTGTCGTCAGTTTTCATAGTTTGTTCTGTTTGGTTATTAGATGCATTTAGTGTAGTTAATATGTTTTGGGAAGTTTCTGGGTGAGCATTAGAAATAGTTGGATTGGCATTGTCAGAGCATTCTGCTTCTTGATGAAAAATAGGGTTACATTATGTACAGTTAAATCCATTTATAGAAAGGTATAATCGGTAAGTAGTATTGTCATGAGAGATGATTAAAGAATCAGAAATAGACGTATTTTCTATAGGTGTGATAAATATTGTCCTTCTAAAACCAAAACTCAAGACATGGCTGTATTCGCTTTCAGACATTCCTATTCTTTGGAGTGTCATTTTTTGAGACGGTCATTAAACCCATCTTATGTAGTTCTTGTTTAATTAACGTGACTGGAACAGTAGTAAAATCATTTGATTTTACAAGTCTCTAAGCTGGAGTAATGAGTCTTCTTATTTCTACTTGAGTTTATTTTATATTCTGGGATTAGACAGGTCTTTCAAATTTTCAAAAACTCGATTTATTTTTTGTTTATTCCATATGAAAGTTCTTCGAGAGTATTCACACCAAATTTGAAATAAACTCAAGCAATATTACCGAAGTTATAGAGATTTGAATACCGTGCAGTCGGTGGTGCGTACACTCTCAGTTTAAAAACTAAACGCGTTTTTCTCGAAACTTCGTTTTTCCGTGCGGTAGGTACGATTTTTCAAGAATGAATCGACCGATTTTGCTGAAACTCTGCACAATTCATCTTTATAGTATTGCTTTATAACTAAACGAAGATATTCTTAACTGGTCGACGCATTCTTGTTTTGTACTAAAATAATTGTTTTAAAAACGATAAGATTTGGAAACATGGTAAATAATATTTCAAAACTTTGAACCTCTTTTCAATTCCTTCGTTCAATCTCGAAACAATATTATAAAGATGAACTGTGCAAAGTTTCAGTAAAATGGTCGATTCGTTCTCGAAAAACCCTTTCTTCTTCTTCTTAGCCTTTTCTCGTTCATGTTTGAACATAGGCTTCTCCCAACTCCTTTCATCGGTCTCTATCCTGAGCAACATATTTCCAATTTGTTCCGGTTATTCTTTTAATGTAATCAACCCATCACATCTGTAGTCTTCCTCTTGTTCGTTTACTTTCGTAAGGTCTCCAATGTTGTATTGTAGTATTCCAACGTTGATCTTTTTGTCTAGCAGTGTTCTGCCATTTAAGTTTGGCAATTTTTGTTGTTATGTCCTCGACTTTTGTTTTTGATCTTACCCAGTCGTTTCTCTTTTTATCTGACAGTCGTATACCTAACAGTGCTCTTTTCATTGTTCTTTCTGTTGTGGCTAGTTTATTCATGTTTGCCTTGGTTAGGGTCCAGGTTTGACATCCATATGTCATGATAGGAAGGATGCATTGGTTGAACACTTTGCTCCTCAAGTATTGGGGTATTTTGCGGTTCTTAAGTATTTAACTAAGTTTTCCAAATCCTGCCCATGCTAGTCTTGCTCTTCTAGTAATTTCCGCACTTTGGTTCTCTTTGTCAAGTTTCAGGATTTGGCCTAGGTAGATATATTCCTGGACTTGTTCTATCTCACTGCCATTTATAGTTATACGTCTGGGGTGATCTGTATTTGTCATTATTTTTGTTTTTTTCATATTTATTCTTAGGTCGACGTATCGGGACCTGCCTGCTAGTTCCTCCATCATAATTTGCAGTTCCTCGAATGTGCTCGCTATAATCACTATGTCGTCAGCGAATCTGAGGTGGTTTAACTTGTTGCCATTAACGTTAATGCCATAAATTGACCAATTTGTAGTTTTGAAGACGTCTTTTAGGGCTAGGTTGAAAAGCTTTGGCGATATTACGTCTCCTTGTCTCACTCCTCTCTTAATGGGGATGGGGTTTGTATTTTCGTCTAGTTGTACTATCATAGTTGCATTTTCATATATATTATGTATTAGTTGCATATATCTCGAATATATTCTACAATTATTAATAGCTTGTTCTATGGCCCATATTTCGATACTATCAAACGCCTTTTCATAGTCGACGAAGGCAAGAAATACGGGTAGTTGGTATTCATTTGCCTTGTCTATCAATGTTCTCATTGTCAGCGGATGGTCTGATGTACTATATCCTTTGCGGAAGCCAACCTGTTCAACCGGTTGGTAATTGTTCATTTTGTAGGTCAAACAGATTCATTTGTAGGTTGTTAATGATTCTCATAAATAATTTGTATACTTGACTGATCAACGATATAGGTCTATAATTCTGCAGATCACATTTGTCCCCTTTTTTGTGTAAGAGTATTACTAGACTCTCGTTCCAGTCTTTAGAGATCTTGCTATTATGGAGACATCTATTAAATAGCTCTGCTAGTACAGCGATTGTTAGTGTCTTGCTTGTTTTCAAGAGCTCGGCAATTATACCATCTGTCCTGGAGCTTTATTATATTTTAGCTCTTTTAAAGCTCTTTCTATTTCGAATCCTTTTATATTTGGTAGTACTTCTGATCCCACGTTTTTTATTTTTCTTTTGACGTTCTCCTTTGTTGTTTCATTAGGCTGGATTTGCGAGCTGTACAAGGATGTGTAGAAGTCTTCGACAATATTATTTGTTATTTTATATTTGTCCTTCTCTTCCTTATTGTTGGCGTTTTTAATTTTTATGATTTTTTGAACTCCCAGTGCGGGTCTTAGACATTTTAAGCCTCTGTTGTTTTCAATAACTCGCTCTAGTAAGTGCTCATTCCATTTTTGTATGTCGCGTTTTAGTCCTTTTCTAATTGTTTTATTAAGTTCTCTGTATTCTTGAGTATAGCGTTTGTTTTGCGCTAGTAGTTGTCTTCTTTCCATCATTAGTTATTTAGTTTCATTGCTTATTTTGTCTTCTTTAGTCGAAAAATCCCTACCGCACGTAAAACAAAGTTTAAAAAATAACGCGTTTAAAATTTTTAAACTGATATCGAACGTACCGACCGCGCGGTATTTAAATCTCTATAATTCCGGTAATATTGCTCGAATTTACCTAAAATTTGGTGTGAATACTCTTGAAGTACTATACTTTCATATGGAATAAAAAAATGGAAAGACCTAGTATACAGCCCTTTATCATATTTGTGGAAATAAAGTTACTGCTTCATTTACTAATCAATTGTATTTTTAGAAAAAAGATTATAACATATCCTATTGTTGGCAATTCTTCTCTTTCTTCTTTTTCCTCTTTATAAGCAATTCTGCTTGTTCATTGGCGGATTAATAACTCAGTCAAAGGTTGTCAATCTTTTGCGCAATCATCCGATTGGTGAATTATTTCTTGCTATTTTGACGACAGGGGTCTCCCCATTCTGCTTATGTGATTATTCCATTCTTTTTTTCTGGTTAGCTGGTTATTTATCATTTTGGCACTGACCGTTTTTCGGTCATGTTTGGGGGGGGGGGGTGGAACACCCTTACCGTCCCATCTATGGCGTCAGAGAATATTATTTCCTTTTATTATTCACTGAAATCAAGCCATTCAAATAAATATAGTAAGCGTATGTATCATTTTTGTACATGTCGTGAAACGGTTATGTTTCGGAAAATATAGGAGGAAACGCCCCCGAACCAAAAAAGTCACACAGGAAAACTGTGGCAGACTTGGTCTAAGGAAGCCGTACAAGGAGTTTCAAGAGAGTATAAATCTCTAAAAAATTTGCCAGCGGCCCCTTTACCAAACCCAAAATTTGCCAGCGGGCCCTCTAACCATACCAAAAGGTATTCTATTTTTTTTAAGCCAAAAAAATTGTTTATAATTTTAAAACATTCTTAAGGCCGTCCAAATGATCCAATTTTAATTACATAAAATACGTTGGATAGGTTATATGCGTTTTTATAAGTAAAAAAATTGTCAAAGTTCTATTATGGTCTAGTTTTTGTTGTAAGGTAAGGTGGGGCAAGTGCGTGAGCGGAACTAGTGCATCAATGTTATCTAAATTTTTATTACGAATGTATTAGCTACTGCCATCTAGCATTTAACGTTGAAAATACATATGTGAGTCCAGCGCGCAAACAACCGACCGTCAGTCGAACCAAGCAAACCAAGCAAATTAAAGTAAATAAACGTAAGGACATTAGTTCGAAAGAAAGTGATCAATCTAGGG